CTTCCTCTCCCTAAATCAATAAAAACATATTTAAAAATTGCTGAGACCGGTTTGGCTCAGCGAATAAAGCATCAGCCTGCGGACTGAAAGGTCCCAGGTTCGATTCCAGTTAAGGGCACGTTCTTTGGTTTCGGGCACATCCTCAGTAGGAGTGTGCAGGAGGCAGCTGATCGATGTTTCTCTCTCATTGATGTTTCTAAATCTCTATCTCTCTCCTTTTCTCTCTGTAAAAAAAATCAATAAAATGTTTTAAAAAATAAAAATAAAAATCATATATTGTCCTGGCTGGTGTGGCTCAGTGGTTGGATTGTCCACCTGGGCACCAAAGGGCTGTAGGTTTGATTTCATGGTCAAAGGCTTGTACCTGGCCAAAACCAGTTTGCCTCAGTGGATAGAGTGTAGGCCTGTGGACTCAAGGATTCCAGGTTCGATTCTGATCAAGGGCATGTACCTTGGTCAGGGCCAGTCAATGGGTGTCTCCCTCCATCGATGTTTCTCTCTTTCTCTCCCCACCTCCCTTCTCCTCTCTCTAAAAAAAATTATTTGAAAAGTATACTCAGGTAAGGATTAACCAAAAAAATCATGTATTTAAAAAATTAGCTTGGCGAGCATGGCTCAATGGTTATCGACCCATAAACCAGGAGGTTGTGGTTCTATCCCGGTCAGGGCAACATGCCAGGGTTTGTGGGCTTGATCCCCAGTGTAGGGGGTGAAGGAGGCAGTCAATCAATGATTCTCTCTCATCTTTGATGTTTCTATCTCTCCCTCTTCCTTCCTAAAATCAATAAAAATATATTTTAAAAAATTAAAGCAAGAAACTGGGTGGTGGTGGGGAATGGGTCCTTAAGCATTAGCTGAACAGGATTAACAAAGAAGACAAAATGGTCCTTGGTAATTACTTGTGAGAACAATTTAAAAAAAAAAAAAAACCAAAAAAACAACTAGGCTAATCTTTCTTTTTTAAAAAAATTATTTTTATTGATTTCAGAGAGGAAGGGAGAGGGAGAGATTGAAATATCAATGATGAAAGAGAATCATAGATTGGTTGCCTCCTGCATGCCCCCTACTGGGGATGGAGCCTGCAACCCTGACATGTGCCCTTGACAGGAATAGAACCTGGGACCCTTCAGTCTGCAGGCCGACGCTCTATCCACTGAGCCAAAGCAGCTACGGAAAGAGAAACAATTAAAAAAAAAATATATTACAAAGGCCTCTTCTTGGCTCACTAACCCCCCTGAGACACTGACAAGCGCAATGGACCTTCCACTCAGAAATAGACAACTCTGCACAAAATCCCTGGCACTTCCTAAAACCTCTGAAACCCACCCATTAACTCCTGGCTGAACAATCCAGAGGTAAAACAGAGGAAGTTAGAGGTCAGGAGAGCAACCATCAATCACCTTTGGAGGGAGGGAGAGGAAGGGTCAGGGTTGGGGGCCAGCCCAGGCTGCTCCACTTCCTGGCCTGGTGCTGGTGACTGGAGGGTGTTCGGTTTGTGCTTCTGTGCATGACTTTGTCGGGTCTGATCAAATAATGGAATCGATACCTCTCCCCTGGGAACTGACCTTTAGGCCACTTCACAACCGACACTCCCTTTCGCTTAGAACACATTCCACTTGCTAAGACTACAATCTTTCCCCTGTGGACCTGCCCCAAAAAGGCCCGCCTGGAGTCCTTTAAAATCGGATTCCTGCTGAAACCGGTTTGGCTCAGTGGATAGAGCATCAGCCTGCGGGCTCAAGGGTCCCAGGTTCGATTCCCGTCAAGGGCATGTACCTTGGTTGCAGGCACATCCCCAGTTGGGGGGGGGGTGTGCAGGAGGCAGATGATTGATGTTTCTCTCTCATCGATGTTTCTAACTCTCTCTCCCCTTCCTCTTTGTAAAAAAAAAAAAAAAATCAATAAACTATGTTTAAAAAATCAAATTACAATCTGATTCCTTGTCCCTCGGTGCTGGTGCCATTTGGGGGGCTCAGCTCATCTGAGTTTCCAGAAGACTTAATGAATTTATAATCCCTCACCACTTTGGTCGAGTGCATTCCTCCTCCCGCAACCCTAACAGACGTGGGCACAACATGTGTGCATATTACATCTCAAAAAATAAAGCGGCAAAACGTTTTGGGGGAAAAAGTGACATGGTAGGCGTTTACACTAAGGACCAGGGCACCTCCACCATGCCGAACTGTATTGTCTGGATTGTCTGTATTGTCTGGATTTTGCCTTTTACAATTGCTATGAATTGTCATGAGGAAAATGCAGTTTGTAAAGAGTTTGGTTGAGGTCTTCACTGTGGGTCTTCGTCAGAACTTTCTGCCAATGTTTTCTACCTCTGGAGGCCAATATGATAGTCACCAGGCACACGTTAATTATGATCATAACTAATGTATATTTATTTTTATTTATTTTAAAAATATATATTTTATTGATTTTTTACAGAGAGGAAGGGAGAGGGATAGAGTTAGAAACACTGATGAGAGAGAATCATCAATCAGCTGCCTCCTGCACACCCCCTACTGGAGATGTGCCCGCAACCAAGGTACATGCCCTTGACCGGAATCAAACCTGAGAACTTTAGGTCCACAGGCTGACGCTCTATCCACTGAGCCAAATGGGTTTTGGCATAACTAATGTATATTTAAATGGAAACAGCCACATGTAGCTAGTGGCCACAGTATAGAACAGAGCATAAGGGAGTTTACTATTAAAATAGTCTTATCACATTTCTGTAGCTCTGAACATTGTTCAAAATAAGTAAATTATAATTTTTTTAAAATTGATTTCAGAGCGGGAGATAGAAACATCAACGATGAGAGGGAATCATGGGTTGGCTGCCTCCTGCATGCCCCCTCCTGGGGTTTGAGCCCACAAACCAGGCATGTGCCCTTGACCGGAATCGAACTCGGGACCCTTCAGTCCATGGGCTGACGCTCTATCCACTGAGCCAAACTGGCTAGGGCAAAAGGGTATCTATTTTAAAGCTTAAAGAGGCACACACCTTGACAAAGACCAGACACAGATATTGGCGTTATCATAAAGTAGCTTTATTACATTTCTTTACCGTCTAAAAAATGATTACAAAAAAGAATACTTCATTTAAGCGTAATACTGTCTTTATGGACGTACCGTGGTTGGAAAGTAGAGTTTAAGGCCATGAATACATGTGAGAAGAGAATGGGGACAGAGGCAGGACCCCTGTAGCCTCCCTGCCAAGCCAACGGGCACCAGGGGAGAGGGGAACAGGGACAAATATGGTGTCAATGAGCTTTTGTAGGAGCTTAAAATAAACCACCGCTGGCTCCGGGCCAGGACACACAGGCACACAACACCCGGACTGCTGCTCAGAGCCGCAGCTCCCATCACACGCCAAGGCCATCCTCAAGCAGCTTTGGTTTTTTTCTTTCCAACTTACACACACACTCTCTCCCCACCCCCTCTCCGGGGTGCCTCCCTCCTTTGGACACGCAAGCTCTTTTGTCTCAGGTACAAAGTAAAAAAGATTCTGATCCCTTCAAAATCAAAGCAAGCCAGACTCCATCCAGCCAGGAAACCCACTTCTGTAGGAGGGGGCCAGCGTTTGGCAGGACGGAGGGGACACGTGAGCGCTCAGGGCCGGCTCCATCCTCGGTGGCCTGGCTGCCACCCTGGCCGCAGGGGCTGCGAACCGGCCAGGGGTCTCCCTCCCCTGCCGCAGGGGCACGTGGGGAGGCTCGGAGCCGCTCCCCTTTCTTTTTTTGGTTCAGAGAGGGAAGGAAAAGGAAAGAGAACTCGGTCGAGATCCTGGGAACAAAACAGGCCATTAAGGAAACTGTGAGTGTCTGGCGAGCCCCAGTCCAGCAGGCTCTGCTCCAGGCAGCTCCGGAAAGCCTGTAGGTTAAAAAAGAAACCCCAGCTGGCCCTTGTTTGGTTTTCGGCAAGGCCCTGCCTCTTTAAGTTTGTGCTGGGAGCCCTCTGGGGGCAGCCAACTTTTAATTGTGCACACATGGGGTTCCTGGAGCCGGCCCCAGGCGCTGCCAACACACACACACACACACACACACACACACACACACACACACACACACACGGCCTGTTTTCTTTCCTTTGAAGAGAAATTCTGGAGCCTGTGGAGGACCTGGGCGGCCCGTACCCTGGGTTCGAAACCCAGGGACGCAGCAGCCACTCTGGGAGCAGGATTCATTTCCTGTGTTTCCCTGGCCTGAAGGATTTTCTAGGAAAATTAATGTTCGCTGGGGCCTCCATGCGGGGAAGGGCCGGAGTAATTTCTTGATATGAACTGCTCCCACCTCTCGGCTGCTGAGTCCTGAGGCTCCCCCCCTCCCCCCACATCCGACCTGAACGGGGTGGACGCTGCCAGTGGCAGGAGAAAGCAGAAGAAAGGGCTGCATTTCCTACTCCGGGTGACAAGGACAGCATCCGCTTTGTAAAGAGAGCAAAATTCCCCCGAAAAAGCTGACCTTCGGGGGGAGTGGACACAACACTGTGTCATCCCAGACAATTCCGTGGGGGCCGAGGGGGAACGAAGCCATTCCGGACGCCGCCCGTGAGTGATGACACTCACAATTAAAATGAAAAAAAAAAATGCATTTCCAGTGACTTTCAGATTTGGCAACAGGTCCTACGATTCCCCCCCTTCCCCGATGGCGGTTCAAAAACACAGTGCGCTCTCCTCTCGCCCTCCTCCATCCGTCACCGCCAGCCGATGGCTCTGTGTTCTCCATAAACCCACGCCCGGCACAGCCGCCGGGGCCCATCTCTGTGGGAATGGAGCTTCGGTCTGCACGGTGGCTGCTTTGGACTGGGGGACGGGAAGACCCGCTGTAAGCTGGAGTCTGGTCGCTGCTGGGAAGCAGAGGAAACCCCACGGGCCTGTGAGACCCAGGCCTCGGTGGGTAGGAGTGGGGTCGGCCAGGGAGGAGCCCAGGACCAGGAGCGAGGGAGGAGGGGCGGCCGCGCGGGGGCTGCCTGGCCTCGGAGGGGAGGCGCCTCGGGTCCCCGCGTGGCTACTCCTCCGCGGAGGACGATGCAGGACCTTCGTCATCCGACATCGGGGCGAACTGAAACGAGAAGCACAGTCCTTGTTGGGCGTCCTGGCCTCTGGCCGGCCGCCCTGAGGCTGTGGTGAGTGAACAAGAGGCTGCGTGATGGGGAGATGCCTCCAAGAAGCAAACAAACAAATGCAGCGGAGGATTTTCATCAGGGACGAGGGGCGGAAGGGAATGGAAGTGGACGGCGGGTGGTCGGGGAGGGGCTGTCTGAGCTGAATGCTGCTGAGGGGCCAGCCAAGGGGCAGCGCAGGCACTGCAGGCAGGAGAGCCGGAGCCAAGGCCCTGAGGGAGCAGGGGAAGGCTGGTGTGGCTGGAGCTCAGGGAGCGGCGGTGTGTGTGTGTGTGTGTGTGTGTGTGGAGCTGATGGGCTTTAAGGATGACTTGGGTTTTCTCTCCAATGGAGGAGCCAGAGAGGGCTGTGAGGAGGAGGCATTGCTGACTCAGGTGTCCGCCATGACCTCTGGCTGCTGAGGGGAGGGCAGACTGAGGGGGGGTGAGGCTGTGGAGGCAGAGGCTGTGGCAGTGGTCCAGGTAGACAAGGAGGATTGGGGTTCCTCCCTCAGAGTCCCTGGGGCAGGAGCACAGACCAGACGGCGAGCCATCTCCAGCCCCATCACCCCATCTTCCCGCTGAGGAAGCTGAGGTGATCCGGGCGTCGCCCCTGAGGCCCGGGCGGGTGTCCTGAGGCCGGAAAGCGGAGCCTCAGGAGGACCTGGGAGCCAGGCGAGACGGATGGCATGTCTGCAACCTCCCTCTCCTGGACCTTTTGGGATTCGCTGTGTTGACACCCACAATGCCACCCTTGAACCCGAACCCGGATACGCTTCGGGGCAAGTGCAGGTGGGGGTGCGGGGGGAGGGGGGAGGCGGCATGAGGCTCCTGCCAAGGTCTAGAGTAAGGTGACCAGATGTCCCACTTTTGGCCGGACAGTCCCGATTTTTAACAATTATCTTTTTGACAAATTGTTGTTAAAAATCGGGACTGTCCCGCCGAAAGCGGGACGTCTGGTCACCTTACTCAAGGCCTCTACACACTGACACGCTCCCGGCAAAATCCACAAGGCCCGGCGTGACCTCCCGGCCCTCCTCTCCTCCCGTGGGGCTCCCAGGCGCCCTCACACACCAGGGAAGCCTGCCTCAGGCCTTGGCTCGGCTCGCTCCTTCCGCCCGGAGAGCCACTAACTCGCTCCTCGCTTCCTCAGTGTCACAGTTTCATGAAGGTCTCAAGTGGCTCCTCCATCACGCTCTGTCCCTCCTCTCCTGTTTTATCTCTCTCTCCAGGACTTACCATCCCCGGGCTGTGATACACCAATCTGCTTATTCTGTCTTTTAGTAGAATGTCTGCTCTATGAGGGGCAGAAACTTTTTTTTTCTGTTTTGTTCAGTGCTGATTGCCAGGCCAGGATTAGGGCCAGAGACAGCCAGTGCTCTGTAAATACTTCTCAAATGAGTGAACAGCGATTAAGAACATGCACTTGGCCTGGCCAGTGTTGCTCAGTGGTGAGCGGTGACCTATGTATCAGAAGGTCACAGTTTAATTCCCAGTCGGGGCACATGTCTAGGTTGCGGGCTTGATCCCTAGTAGGGGGTGTGCAGGAGGCAGCCGATCAGTGATTCTCTCTCATCATGGAAGTGTCTATCCTTCTCCCTTCCTCTCTGAAATCAATAAAACTACATTTCAAAACCATTTAAAGAGCATGCGTTTGGAACCAGAAAGGTCTGGGTTCGAATACTGAGATGTTGACCACGACCATGCAGCCTCAGCTCTCGGTGACTCATGGCCTCATGGGGCACCATGAAGGCTCAACAAGCAGATGACGACTAAGTCCCTGGCTCAGGACCCATACCCATCAGTTCTTCATCAACATCCGTCCACTGCCAGGCCCAGCCCTGCTCCCCCGCGCCTCCCCCCGCGCCCCCGCCCCCCCGCCTGCTAGGGCGCAGACTCACCGAGCACTGGATGTTCATGCGGGAGTACAGCATGGAGGCGATCTCGCTCTGCCCCGCATCCAGGGCCACCATCAGAGCCGTGCTCCCGTCCTGTAAGCACCCGGCGATGAGGACGCCGGCACCCGGCCCCCGCCTGCCCGCCCCGGGGCGCACCTGAGCGCGGACTCACGCGGTCGGTGAGCGAGATGTCGCAGCTGGGCACGGCCAGCAGCAGCGCGGTGATCTCCTTGTGGCCGTGCTCGCAGGCGCACATGAGGGCCGTGGAGCCGTCATCGTCCTGCACGTTGACGTCCGCCTGGCAGGCCAGCAGCGCCTTCACCACGTCCGCGCGCCCGTGGCTCACCGCCAGCATCAGGGCCGTCTGCCCGGCCTGCGCAGCACAGCACAGGCTGCTCCACGCAGGCCCGAGGCGCGTCCCGCCCCAAACCTGTCACAGCTCCGAGCGACCGAGGCTCCCAGCGCCCCGCTGGCCTCCCTGTATCTCAGACAGTCCTCCCACCCTGGGCCCTGCATCTGCTGGTCCCTCCCCATCCCACTGCCTCGTTCCCGCAGGCCTCAGCTCCCATGTCTCCTCCTCTGAGATGTCACTGGCCTCCCCATGGCCACCCCATGCCCACCTACAGCAGCCACCTGACTCGCAGGCGCCAACAGGTGAAAATGTATGAAGCTGAGACCCGTGCACGTCTCTGTATGTCAGCTGAACCTCCATAAAAATTAAATCCGTGTTCCCAGCAGATGAGCAATAAACACACTGTGGTAAACCCGCCCTCCAGAATGTTATTCCGTCTTAGGAGGGAACGCCACACCCTGCGAGGAGGAACCTTGAAAACGCTGTGTTCGCTGACAGAAGCCAGACACTAAGCGGCACATTCTACACGATTCCATTCGTATGAAACGCCACAGCGGGCAGATCCAGAGGCGGAGAGCAGACCGGGGAGTGACTGCTAACAGGGTTTCCTTTAGGGGTGATGGGAGGTAGATTTAGGGGACGGTGACACAACACTGTAAATATACTAACTGCCAACGGGCTGTACACTTTTCAAGGGGTAATGTGTGAATCTCACCTCAGTTAAAAAAAAAAAAAAAAGTAAACCAGCCCTAGCTGGTGTGGCTCAGACACAGTGACGACCTACGGACTGAAGGGTCCCGGGTTCCATTCCGGTTCAGGGCACATGTCCCAGCTGGGGGCTCGATTCCCAGGAGGGGGCGTGCAGGAGGCAGCCGATCAATGATCCTCTCTCATCACTGATGTTTCTCTCTCCCTCCCCCTTCCTCTCGGAAATCAATAAAGAAGAGCAAGTGTGCACGTCGCTGCGCCCTGCTCTTCCCTCAGGGCGTCTGTGCTGTTCTGTTCCCTCCCCTGGCTGTCCCGCCCTGCTCCTCCGCCTGGATCCCATCCACATCCCTGTGGCTTCCACCGTCTCCTAGCTTCTGCTCCCAACATGCAGCTGAAGGAAGATTTCAAATCAGAAAGCGGTCGCACCGCGGCCCGGAAGGAGCGCCCCCAGTGGCCTCTGCAGTCCAAACCCCCTCCAGGCCTCCGAGCCGCCAGAATGTGAGCGGCTCCTGGCCCCTGGCTGGGAGCGCCAGGAGGGAGGGGCCGTGCCCGCCCGTGGGCCACCATCTGAGCCTCTGGCTTCCGCCTGGTGCCAACGACTCCCCAGAAACATGTGGGACGGCGTCAGGTTGGGAAGGCTGGAGACCCCCGCGACCTCGCCCATCCCCGCCCCCTCCCACACACGGCCCTGCGCCTGCCGGGGAAGGCGCGCGAATGGGGCTCTGGAGCTAGAACCCCCGGTTCGAAGCCCCTCCTCTAGCTGGACCTTGAGAAAACGACGCTGCTCCTCCGAGCCTCAGTTTCCTGTCTGAGGAGCGGGGACTCTCTGGCAGGAAACCAGGTCACTGAGGCCTGGCGCGCAGCCGGGACCTGGTCAGCGGGGAGGGCTGCCTGGTGTGCGGCGCCCGGGCCTACCTGGCTGGCTTTGGCGTTGACGTCTCCGAGCCGGAAGAGCTGCAGGAGCGTCTCGGTGTCATCCTGGGTCTTGAGGGCGGCCAGGGCGGTGAGCATGATGGGGCTGTAGCCGGCACGGTTCTGCTTGTCCACCTGGCAGACACCTGGGCGGGGCAGGAGGACACCAGCCCTCAGACCCACTGACATGGGCAGGCCCCCTCCAGGCGGAGGGCGGGCCCTGAGGACTGGGAGCCTCTCCCGTCGTGGAGGTGTGGCCGGGTCCCCCTCCTCTCAGACTGAGTTCCCCGTCTGCCCAGGTGTGCGTCCCATTCTCCCTCCCCTAAACGGAGCCCCCCGCCCTTTGTGACTGAAGCCGTTCCACCCCTCCACCAGCCTGGGCCTCCCGACATTGGCACCGAATTGAGGGCTGAATGTCAGTCTCCTTCAGACTGGCCTCTGCCTCCTCCATCAGACTGCGGTCTTCACCAGGCTAGGAGTCTGTGCCTCCCCCGTCTGACCAGGGAAAGGAAGACCTTTTCCTGCTGAATTGGGGACCACATCTTCCCGCCAAGCCCCAGACTCAAAGCCACGTCCCTCCGTCCCTCAGACTGGGGTTCCGGAGGCCTGACCTCCGTTCCACGGGGGTCTGTGTGGATGGCGGGAGGCCATGTGTGTTCCCGAAGACCACGGCTGCCCTTTCCAGAATATGGGGCGACCGGGGAGCCTGCATCCCCCCATCCCCTCCGCAGGGTGGGAGGCCGTGTCTCCCCAACCAGACCACCAGACCGGGGCCAGGCCCGGCGCCGGCCGGCCAGCTCACCGCTGCCCAGCAGCTGCCGCACCACCGGGAAGTTGGCGTGGGACACGGAGTAGTGCAGCGCGGTGTTGCCGTTGCTGTCGGCGATGTTGACCACGTAGCCCAGCAGCCGCGAGGACATGGCCCGGAACGTCACCAGGTGGCGCCGCACGAGCTCGGGGTGGGCGTCGCGGCGGCAGGCCAGGCGCAGCCACTCCTGCAGCACCGTGGTGTAGGCCACCTTCTGCCCGAGGGGGGGAGAGGGGAGAGGGGGCTGGGAGGGCGCAGCCACCCTCTCCAGGGCTAAGCCCCGAGGGGAGCCGGAGGGGAGCACGGGGACCCCACCCACACGAGCCCCTGGGGCAGTGCTGCACCCTGTCCTGGACGAGGACCCTGGAGGGAAGGGGAGACAGACTAGGTCTGCCCTGGAGGAAGCTGTGAGCATCTCCATCCGGGGAATGACAACCAGTGGAGGGGATGTGCCAGCCCCTCCCCTCAAGCTCCCGAAAGGACCAGGGACCAAGGCCGGCTCTGCCAGCGGTGGATCATCCTCTCCCCTCCCCTCCCTGGCCCCTCTCTAAGGCCCGTGACTCAAGCACCCCACCCTGCAGGCTGGCAGAGGGACAGAAGGAGGCCCTGCGGACAGGAGGCGCCAGGGTGCGGCGGGAGGAGGGCCCTCCCAGTCCCAGGGCCCGCGTACCAGCTCCCGCTCGGAGAGGGCGTGGGGGTTGTCCAGGTACTTTTCCAGGGCCAGGCAGGCTGAGATGAGGTCGGGGCTCAGCTCCATCCTGCGAGGGAGAGGGGGTTACCCCAGCCGCCTGCGTTTCCTTACTTCCCACATCCGGCTGGGCACTCACCCATCCTGCCAGGGCCCCCCTGACAGTAACCCTCAGACGCCCCCTTCGCCAGGAACAAGTTTTCACATCATACCACATGGAGAACAGACAGACTCCGAGAGAGCATGGACACACAGGCTAGTTTACGTCACGTGGTCAGAGTCAGGTGGAAAAATCTTTTCCTAATGCCAGATTTCTCATCCAAGGATTAAAAAAAGATAAAACAGGATGGACAGGTGGGGCAAAATGTCCCCAAAAGGCAGGTAGCTTAAGGACTTTGCCTGCCCCCTCAATCCTAACCCCACAGCCAAACTGCCCCCCCCTCCGGCCCTTCCTCAAAGCCTCCAGATCTCCCAGGTGCCCAGAGGCAGAAGGTGCTCTGTGCTCCTTTAGACTGCGGTGCGCACGCCTGACGGGACGTTCCCTCGGAAGGCGTGGAGGCTGGGACTGGGGGTCACCCCACACACAGCCCTGGCCCTGCCTCCCACCCACAGCACCCACCGGATCTCCTCCACGTTTGACCCCGAGGCGCCCCCGGCCGCGGGCGCTCGCTCGGCCTCCCGGGACGGCTGGCCCTCCTCCGGGGCGGCGGGCCCGAGCGGGGCGGCTTCAGCCACAGCCGGCAGCCTTGCCTCGGGCTCCGGGGTCTCGTTCCCGGTGCTGTCGCCGTCGGAGAAGTTCTCGGCCGTGCTGGAGTCCTCAGAGGAGGACTCGCACCTGGAGAGGGTGCGGGAGGGAGATGCTGCGGGCGGGACCGGAGTGGCGGGGGACGCGTGGGGGGCGCTGACGGCTGGGCCCCGGTTTCCCCGCCTGTCAGCCGCGGACGGTGTCGGCAGGGACCTCACAGGTCTGCAGGGATGTGGCCCAGAGCGCCGGCACCCAGTGAACCTCCACAGACACTCGCTGTGGCTGGGGTGGTGCTGGGGGCCAGGAGGGCACTCTCTTCCCTTCTACCCTCCGGTGCTGCTCACGCCCCGCTCCTGGTCCAGACCCTCCTCCCCCTCGGAGGGGCCCCTCGTGCTTCTTGCTTCCTCTGGACGGAGTCTAAGTTCCTGGTATTCGAGGTTTCAGACTGCCCCTGACCATCGCTCCGATGCCTCCCTTCCTCCTGTCGCTCTGCTTCCGCTCTCCTCTGGGCCTCCCCGACCTCCAACCCCTCCCCGACCTCCAACGACATGCGAAATGCTGTCTGATCGCTCTGCTTCCGCTCTCCCAGGCCGTGCCTCCACCAGGGGAGCCCTCTCACCCCGCCTTCACTTTGCCAGCTCCTGCTGGGCCGCACCCGCGCCATCCTGGGGCACGGATGGGCACCGTGCCTCCCAAGATCCCCCTGGCCCGAGTGCCCCGCCTTCCTGCTTCGTCCTGGCAGGGAGCTTAACCTGGCCCCTTTCGTGGCTACAGCACAGGCTCTGCAGCCAGACACCGAGCTGGCTCCTGGGCACACGTGCGCTCCAGCGGGGCCCTCAGCCTCACCGGGCCTCGTTTCCTCTCCCGTCTGCTGTGCTTTAGTTAGGTGAGGGCATCCAAGGGAGGGGCTCAGGCCGGGCACTTGGTCCATGCCCGGAACAAACAGGGACGTGGGAGCTGGGGCGTGGGTGGGGGCTCTCTCACCCGCCGTTGACCCCCACAAACTGGAGGCTCCGCTGGTGGGTCGCGGGGTCCGCAGGCTCCTCTTTCCGCTTCATGATGGACCGTATGGCCGCCTGGGGCCCGCCTGGGTGGGGGAGAGGGGCTGGTGTCACAAGGGCCTCCCAAAGCCAGACCTGTGCCCAGGCCTCCAGCGCTCTGTCCGTCTGGGTGGCACCCCCACTTACCGGCACCTCCGGCCTCCTCTGGTTCGCATGGGGCAGCCGGCCTGGGGGGCACCCCGCCTGCGTTCTTTGTGGGCGATGCCAGGGAGGCTGCTGCGGACCCTGGGGGCGACGAGGCTGCAGACGCCCGAGGACCTGGAGGGGCGGGAGGAGGCACTCACCGTGGGAACAGCAGAGCACTCACAGCAGTAACCCTCCTCCCGTGTCCGAGGCTCTGAGGACTGACTCCGGCATCAGCTCCTCCGGGCCCCTGGAAGGTGGAAGGTGGGAGACTGCAGGAGAGCAAACGGAGGCACCGGACGGAATGGAGGAAAAAAATCCAATTCCAACCCTGGCTGGCTGCCTGGCCCACACTGGGCAGGGACAGGGAAGGTCCTGCGACCACAGGATGCTGGCTCACGACCCCTCCCCGACCTCCAATGACATGCGAAATGCTGTCTGATCACAGCGGAGTGTGGCGGTCACTGCAGGGAATCATGTCTACCAGGAGCAAGTATGTGACCTCGGGCAATTCATGTAATCTCTCAGTGCCTCGGAGAACGGCATTCCTATGTCCTGGCAGCTGATTGGACTGCAGACAGGAAGGCGAGATGAAGAGCCTACAACAGTGGTCAGCAAACAGCGGTTCGTGAGCCACATGCGGCTCTTCTGCAAAATACCAGGTGCGGGCGATTTTGTAGTAAGATGTGTGTAACGTGAAGTTTTCCATTTTAAGAATTGTAAAGTGTCCGGTTCGGTGGTGGTGTACGATCTGTGCGATCGAAACTTCGTGGCCCGGGCGCAGAAGTCGTTGTCGGCCTTTTGAAGAAGAGGTTCTAACGCCGAGCCACACTCACGGGGCCAAAGAGCCGCATGTGGCTCACGAGCCGCGGTTTGCCGACCACTGGCCTAGAACAATGTCTGCACTTGGGAGGGCTCAAGAAGCATCTGTTAATTCAAGAGAATCGTAAGCTCTATTTTGATAAGACTTCATATTATGATTTTTTTTTAGTCTGTCCTTTCTTTTATAAAAGATTTTTTGATTGACTTTTATTGAATTTTTTTTAGAGAGAGAGGAAGAGAGAGGAAGAGAATCATGCATACAAGAGAGAACATGGATCAGCTGCCTAAGACATGCCCCTCCTGGGGATCGAACCTGCAACCTGGGCATGTGCCGTGACTGGGAATTGAACCTGCAACCTTTTGGTACATGACCCACTGAGCCACACCAGCCAGGGCTTTGATTTCTTTTTTTCTTTTTTTGTTAAATCCTCACTCGAAGATATTTTCCCATTGATTTTTAGAGAGAGGGAAAGAGAGAGAGAAATAGTGATGTGAGAGAAACACATCAATTGGTTGCCTCCTGCACAAGCCCCAACCAGGGCCTGGGATGGGGAGGAGCCTGCAACCAAGGCACACGCCCTTGACCGGAATCGAACCCAGGACCCTTCCGTCTGCAGGTGGACGCTCTATCCACTGAGCCAAACCAACTAGAGCTTTAAAAAAAAATTATTTTTAACAAAAGTAGGATTGTGCTATAAATGGCATTTATATCCCGCTTCCTTTTCCCCTTCTTAACTCAATTTTAAGCAGGCACTATTTTAATAAAAAGAAAAAGAAACAAGTGAGCTATTGGAAAATGACAATTAAAACCCCACCCAGGCAGGGTTTTAGTTTGGGAAGATAAAAAAGTTCTGGAGGTGGGGGTGGTGATGATTGCACAACACCACTGGACACTTCAAAATTCTTAAATAGAAAGTCTCATGTGATACGTATCTTATCACACTTTTTTATAGAAAACCCACCTACCCTGTTTCCCCGAAAATAAGACAATGTCTTATATTAATTTTTTCTCCCAAAGTTGCGCTAGGTCTTATTTTTAGGGGATGTCTTATCTTTCCATGCGCTAGGTCTTATTTTCGGAGGATGTCTTATTTTTGGGGAAACATGGTAGTTTGGTGTAAGGACAAAGCTGGCTCTGTGGGCATCAGGCCCCGAGGGCGCTCACTGTCCACTTGGGAACGGAGCCACAGGAAGCTCCAGCCCCGGAGCCCGGTTTGGAACGAGGAACAGCTCGGTCACCACGGTGGGGGCTGCCCGAGTCTCGGGAAGGCTCAGGGCCCCAGGCCACGTGTGGCTTCCATGTCACCACTTCCTCAGGACGTCCCCATCCTGCCCCTGGCTCCACAGGCCGAGTCACTTTAATTCTCTTAAAAATACATATTTGTATTGATTTCAGAAAAGGGAGGTGAGAGAGAGAGAGAAACGTCAATGATGAGAATCACTGATCAGCTGCCTCTGGCAGGGCCCCCCACTGGGGATTGAGCCCGCAACCCCGGGCATGTGCCCTGACCGGGAATCGAACTTCGACCTCCTAGCTCATAGGTCATAGCTCAACCGCAGAGCTGAGCCATGCTGGCGGCTGGGCACTTGAATTCTCTTTAACAGTTAGAGCTGTTTTGACATACACAGTGACTAGTTCCTCAAGTCCTTGGGCAACGTTCAAGTTAAGAACAGGGAGTAAATACTTGGGACCAGCCCACAGAAAAGATGAGACACTTGGCCGTGAGCAACGCAGACAGCACTGCAGCCCAGGGCGTGGCTTGGCCAGGCAAGTTCCGGAGCTGGTTTTTATGAGACTCTCATTTTTTTAACAACTGATTTTAGAAAGAGAAAGAAGAGAGAGGGAGGAAGGAAAGTGGGGGAGAGGAGAGAGAGAGAGAAACACTGATTTGTTGCTCCACTCATTTATGCATTTCTAGGTTGATACTTGTAGGCACCCTGATCGGAGATCGAACCTGCAACCATGGTGTATTGGGATAACATCCTAACCAATGTGCTACTGGCCAGGGCTCCTGATTTTTATATATTTTTTTAAACCCTGTCAATAAATCCACGTAAAACAAAAACATTAAGTGGCCAAGTGAAATGTGTCAGGAGGCAGACGGCCAGCTTGCACTCTCCGTGCGTGCCCCTTATTGAAACACCTGGGAGGGTCCACACGCCAGGCACAGCAACATGTGGCTGAGTGAAACAGGCCAGGCGCACGAGGATAAATACTGTGTGAATCTACTTACAGGGGGTCCCCAGGGGAGTCAGGTTCACAGAGACAAGAAGCAGAGGGTGGGTGCCAAGGGCCGGTAGGCGGGAGGTTGGTGTTGAATGGAGACTGAGCTCCAGGTGGGGAAGACGGAGACATTCTGGGGATGGCTGGTGGTGGTGGCTGCACAAAAAATGTGACTGCCGCCTGGCCGGGGTGGCTCGGTTGGTGGAGCATCGTCCGGTGCCCCGAGAGGTCCCCGCTTCTCTTCCTGGTTGGGCACAGGCCAGGGCCGTGGGCTCCTTCCCCAGTGCGGGGTGTGCGGGAAGCAGCCAATCAATATCTCTTTCCTTCTCCATTCCTCTCTCTCTCTGGAATCAATAAAAACTTTTTTAAAAAATTATTTATTTATTTACTAAATATATTTTATTGACTTTTTACAGAGGAAGAGAGAGGGATAGAGAGTTAGAAACATCGATGAGAAAGAATCATCGATCAGCTGCCTCCTGCACCCCCCCCACCAGGGATGTGCCCGCAACCAAGGCACATGCCCTTGACCGGAATCGAACCTGGGACCTTTCAGTCCGCAGGCCGACGCTCTATCCTCTGAGCCACTCTGGTTTCGGCAAAACTTTTTTTTTTTTTTTTAAATGTGACTGCTGAATACCATTATGTGTGGGCACTTAAAAATGGTTGCCATATATATAAATTGTGTTATATTTCACCACCATTTTTTAAAAAATGGAAAAGAAAAAAATGGAGTGGCACCATGGCCCCTTTCGCCACAGGGAAAAGCAGGCCCTGCTCCCAAAAGCTTGGGCGGCTCCTGTCATGCGAGGAGGTCAGGGTCAGACACTGCCATGCTAAAATAACACCAATAAAAACGGCATTTACTGCTGTTACTTCCCTGATACCGAAATTTACATGGAAAAACTAAAGTCCAGCTAAGGTCATCTTACAAAAACGGGCAGCGGCGAAGAAGGCAGCTGGGAGAGAGTAAAATAGAGGCCAGAGCCTGGACGGTCCCGGCAGGGGGTTTGTTACAGGAAGAGATGGGCTAGGGGGGACGGGGGAGAGAGCCCAGCACAGCCCCGCTCAGGGAACGGGGGTCAGACGGAGGGGTTTCCACAGACCAGCGGCCAAGGGGGGCTCTGCGGGGCGGTGCTGGGGAAAGCAGCTCCAGCCAAGGGAGAGTCCGGCCAGAACCTACCTCAGGCCTTACACAGAAGTAAACCCTGAAGGAGTAGCATGAAGGTCCAACTACAAAGCCACAGGAAGCAAATGCAGAATGTCGGGGCCTCAGGAAAGGAAAAGATTCCTTTAAAATTCCTCCATGTCTAACCACCGTGTGCTACACCTGAAACCAATATCGTGAATGACAGCTGTAATTGAAAAAAGAAAAAACCTCAAAAATGAAACTTCAAATACGAAAAAAAAAAAAATTAAAAAATTCCTGGCACGGCTCGTTTGGCTCAGTGGTTAAAGCCTTGGCCCCTGGACTGAAGGGTCGTGGGTTCGATTCCTGTCAAAGGCACGTACTTTGGTTGCAGGCTCAGCCCAGATGGGCACCTGGGGGAGGCACCAGTTGATGTGTCTCTCTAACATCGATATTTCTCTCTGGCTCTCCCCCTCCCTTCCACTCTCTCTCTCTTAAAAAAAAATTCTTCAAAGCACAAACTATATGTGAAAATACAAGGTGATCTCACTTACATGTGGGATCTAAAGACAAACAAACAAACAAACAAACAACACCCTGAACTCAGAGATGAAGAGCAGGGATGGGGGCAGGGAGTGGGTGAAAGGGGTCAAAAGGTACAAACTTCCAGTTATAAGATAAATAAATCTCGGGATGTAATGTAGAGGATGGTGACTGTAGCTTATGCT